ATATATATAATAATAAAATCTAATATAAAGATTACATTTTTCAATAAAAATTTATATTATTTTTCTAATCAACGATTATTTTCTGAAAATACAGTAAACAACAAAAACTACGTTATTTAATCTTCTTGTTTAATGACTGCGATTATTTCAAAACTGACTGTGATTCTCGAATTGATTTTCCTTGAATTAACGTTGTTGAACTCAACATTACAGAAATCTGTTCTGGCAAAGGACATGCTATCAATAGAAGATTCTCTGCATTATAATACTTATTTAATGTTTGATGTAACTGTGTAAATGCAGCACAAATGTTATTTTTCACTGGTTTGAATAAAATGAATTCAGTTTCTTTGTTAGCCAAATATAATTGCATCGATTGCTGAATCTCAGGACATTTGAACTTGATTATCCTCAATACATCGGCCACTACAGCTGCTATTTCTTGCGCGCTCCCTAGTGCATTTTCCTGATTCATGCTTGCATCAAATAACTTTTCTTTCTCCAATAACTTGATAATAGGATAAATCAATAAATAAGTTGCATGTTGTATTAATTGCTGGCATGTAAGTCTCAATTTTGCGTCCACGTGCTTCCTTGAATCGATAAGTTGCTCTTTCATCTGTGGTGCACCTTCCAAAAGAAATTGTAATAACGCGTTATTTGACAAGGTAAAAAATCTAGAACTCTTTTCGAGCAGTCCAAATGCAGCAGTCTTTACTTTGGAGAAGTCCAAACTATATTCTTTGATGGTAAAATCCACTTGGAACGGAGCAATTTGTTCTCTAAGAATAAGCAAGTGTTTAATTTGAAATAACTCTGCATCCAATGTGCTCGCTCTCTTCTCAATTTCCTGTCTGGCATTCTCAATGCTCTGAACACAAAGAGAAATTGCCTCCTGGCTTAATGATTGAAACACAGATCTATCCACGCAACGATAGAGTCTCGATAGACACACCAGAGTTCTACGAACTGTGGGATACCACATAGCATGCAAATCGGCTGGAGAACTACCCATGTGTGTTTTCTGATAAATGGAATCAATAACTATATGATTTCGAGAAACTGGTTCTAAAGCAAAACTATCAGTGGATGACACAGAAATCTTCTTCATATGAGACTGACGAGTCGCTTCCCTAATTGATTCTGCTATATCTTCCATCATTTTCAGTTTTTCTGGATATGCCAGGTCACCTGATGAAGGATTATAATCCAGTACATCGGATTGTAGATATAAATGTGCACGAAATACTAATCTTTCTTGAACATCATGCAACAACTGCAAGCATATGTTTCCAAATCCTTCCAGTGGTTCAAAATTATTCTGTACATGTTCATCTAGCATCTCTATTCGTAAAATGCAGCAAATCTCTGCTAATGTCTCAAGATGATTGATATGTATTATGAAAGGTCTCAATGCATCATATAAAGAAGTACACAAGCTCTCTAGGTATGCAGTTAATCCATTGGATTGCTTTGAAAAGAATTCATAAAACAGTTTATGTTCATCTATCGACGCATGCAGAAGTAATGCACAAGAATGTCGCACTAAACTGCAATGATCACCATTATACTTCTCCTTTATAAAATTCAGAGATTTCTGTATGCTTGTACCCAGCACTAAGCCTCGCTGACTCCAATAATATTGGTGACATTCAAGCAACAAGCTATCATATTCTTGTCTTTTGTATGATTTGTTTTCAATCTGTCTGATAATGGGTCTTGTTTTACATAAGATTGTCTGAAATCTACCATAGAATAGAGCAAGAGCTGTGTCTGCATTCTCTGATGAGTTTTCATTGTCTTTCAAGTTTAAAATACTTTCAGTGGTTTTAGAGAATAAGTTAGAAATATAATTCTGTATTAATGCAATCGCCTTTGACTGACAATGCTTGTATCTCACTAGGTAAATTCCACTTTCATTGTACGACGAGTTATTTTGCATAAAATCTATGTTTGTGTCAATTTTATCTAAAACAGCGAAAAACATTTCACTGTTTACTGACAAGGTAGATGCATCCAATTTTTCTGTAATTATGTCAATTTCCTTGAAATATTTAACATACTCCGTAATGTCATTGATTG